AGAGAGAGAGAGAGAGAGAGAGAGAGAGAGAGAGAGAGAGAGAGAGAGAGAGAGAGATTGGTGACTTCGGGACTGGACGACATTTGGATTCAGACTCGGCATTGGGATTGAGACATTGGACGAGGGATTATTTGGGACCTGTACCGAAGACTTGGTGTTGAGGACATTCCCATCGTCCCCTCTTCTTCGTCGAGTCCCCCTCCTCTTCGTCTGTGTACGTATGGGCGCATTCTTCCTTTGTAAGCGCCAGGTCCCTTCACACCCTGCGATGATGATGATGTATGTTTGGTCTGCATTGCGACATTGATTGGTCGGATCATTGGTATATTAGCCTTCCGCTGCGCTATCTTGTACTAACTGAGAGAGGTCGGTTCTTGTTCTGGTCTGTACCTTTACGGTATGCGACAGTCTACCGTTGTGTGTATAAAGATTGTTTTGTTTTCTAAGGAAAATTTCCTTGTTTGAGCGTAGCCCTTGTGTAAGTCTTGGTGGCCTTGTTTTTAATTAAGTTTGGCATTGTTTGCAGTTCCGAACAATGGCTCAGGAGTCCACGACCATTGCCAGAAGTCATGAAATGGAAAACATCCAATGGGTTTGCGAACTTTGCCCGGAAATTTTACCAGACAAAGGACTGCAACTATTGGCACTGCCGCGTAGGGCCAAAGATATGCTTATCCAAAGGCCAGGTGCAGAAATATCAACCCCTCAGAAGCGCATGTATTCCGAGTGGGCTTGTCGGAATTAAGCTTCCAAGGACAGCACCAGAACAGGAATCGGCGAAGAGGCCTTGAAGGCCGGCCAGCAGGGAAAGGTACTGATGTTACCCAGTCAGTGCCCTCGCCGGCGGCTACCGTCCCTCATCCTCACTTCTCCCTTGTTCCCGTGTCCTAACCTTGTTTCCCCTCTCATCCCGCCCCGCCCTTCCCCTTACTCATGTCTTTAGTCTTTCTGTTCCTTATGCATACCTTGTACTTGCGCCTCACTATCGCCTTACAATCGCCTTCCTATCGCCTTACTTGCAGCACTCTCATATCAGACCGCCTTACTTGCAGCACTCTCATATCAGACCACCTTACTTGCAGCACTCTCATATTAGACCCCCTTCCTTGCAGCACTCTCATATCATATTGTGCTAAGCTCTGATTCCATGTGCCCCCTTAAGCTAATGTGATGTGACTAAGTTGACTAATTACTCTAGTAGTCCTTCCTACTCTGCTTCCGTTTGCTGTTTGTGCTCGTGTTCTGATGAGTCGGTGAGACTCTGATGAAACAGTCTATCACAGCCCATCGTTTGTTGTTCTTTTCCCTCTTTGCCTATAGTTCACTAGGGTGTTCTGTATAGACATATTTCAAACAAAAAGATAGAGAGTTCGGTGCGATGTGAGATGGAGACGTGATGGGAGAGAGAGGGGAAGGATGGGAGATGGACAAAGGGAGGTCTTGCAGCCACTATTGGCTACTAGAAAACGTTGAATCAATGAGCATCAATCCACATCAAGCAAGGGCAGGGCACACTCACAACCATGCCAACCGGTCTTTATCTGCCTACCTCAGAAGCTGCTATAGGGGCCATACCACCTTTTTGTCTTTTTTTTCTGCCAATTTCCCGCTGCTATTTGATTTTGGCTGCCTTGGGCTTACCCACCCTTCTACGCCACCAACTGCACCGACCAACGTACGGCCACAGGGTTAGTCGCATGCCCGGCGTCCAAACACCAACCGACATACTCAGTCACACACACACTTCACTCACAAACTCAAGTACTCAGACTGATGGGCAGTCACACAGAAAGATATCAGCAACCACCACAGTAGGGACAGACTCTGATTGCAGAAATTCCAGTAAGCACACAAAGCAATGATAAGAACTCAGAACTGGCAGTATATGCAATTTCGTAGGTACTGCACAATACACAGCATCACACATAGCCGCACACATAGCGCCACATAGCAGTGCACATAGCCACACACATAGCAGCACACATAGCACCACGCGTAACAGCACACATCGCAGCGTGCATTGCACCACACATCGCACCAAACATAGCACCACACATCGCACCAAACATAGCAGCGCACATAGCAGCAAGCGGCACCATCCATGGCAGCACATGTATCAGCACACATAGTAGCA